CTAAAATCCATAATGTTTTTCCGTATCATTTCAATATCAAAGCATTATTTATTGTTTAAATTTATCATCTAATAAAATTAATTTTTTCATTTATATAAAAATTAATTTTAATTTAAAATATACAAATTATATTTTATTTATTTTTGAAAATATTTTTAAATTTTTATCTTTTAATAAAATTATAATTAAATTTTATTCGAACTCAATCAAATAATATATTTAAATTTAATCTAATTTGGTTTTAAAAATTAATAAATTAAATCCGAATGACCCAAACTCAAATAATTTTGGTGTTAAACCTGAAATACCCAAACCAAAATGATCCGAAACAGAAATAATCAAAACTCAAAATGATTCAAAACCAAAACAATCCTAAACTGAAATGATCAAATCTAAAATTGACCCCATTTTTTTAAAGCCCGAAATAAACCAAACTAAATTGGTCAAATCCAAAGCCAGCCCAACTCGCTCAATTGACAAATCTACATGATCATTTCAAAACTTGAAGAATGATTAAGGAAAAACTATATGAAATAGTTATTCTAAGTTAGTATATGTCACTTTCATTCAAATCATATTACCAAATAAAGTCAACTATTTATTATATCACATATAATAATTAAATAGTGAATATTTATTTTAATAAACTCATGCATATGATGTGTAATAACTAATTGATTTTTTTCATAAAGATAATTATATAGCATAATTTGAATAAAAGAAACAGATTTGAAATAATTATTTTATACAATCCTTTCTTAGGATGAAGGGGGTGTTTGGTTGTTGGATAATATGAGAAACGTCAACCTAAGGATCAGGCTTTAGGCTTAGGCCTTTGGGTCTCCAAACCTTGGATGATCTGATTCCGTATGTCCATTGTGGTCATTTGTATTGTCAATGACCAAACGGGCCACAATAACCTGTCCAGCCCACCCTAGTTGAAATTTTCTAGTTGATCAAAAACACCGAGACCCATAGGGAAATGAGATGCACATTTTTTTTGTACTTAAAATTATTAAAAATTAAAATTTGATTACTGATATTAAATTTTTAATATTTTATTAATAAATGATGACATGCACATTGTAATTTCTACATATTAATTCTCGTTTGATTATTATCTAGTTACTTTAAATTAATACATATATATATAATCAATGAAAACCAGAAATACTTTTATTTTCTAAAAAAAATTAGATACAAAAATAAATTGTACAAATGTTTTTGTAATTACAAACTAAAAACTAATATTTCTTAAATAAAAAATATGTCATTTTATTTTTATATTAATTATATTTTATCAATGTGTTCAAATTTAATGAAATATAATTTTTATTTCTTTAGTTTAATTTAACAAAAAGTAAGCAAATAACACTATTATTACTCCTTAAATAAAGCTCATTAAGGAGGTAAGTACATAAGTGCCTGAATTGTTGGGATCAAGTACATACTGTACGTATTCCACTATTATTAACAAAAGCTGACCTGATAGTGTTGCCGTCGATGCCACTTGCAAATAAATTAGGCCAATTAGCACAGCAGCTTCAGATCCAAACAACGACAAGCATCCCAAAGACTTGGTTGATTCAGGTTAATTGCTTCTCCAGTATTATTATTCCCTTAAAAAATGCTAAGTACTAATTTTCTTTCGTAGCTAGCCTGCCAAACTGGAACGCCGTCCTTAACAGTCTCGCTTTTGTATATATACAAAATATAGAAAGAGTGTCTTCGGCTGCTTCATACAGTGATTCAGATAATTTTAAAAAAATATCAAAGTTGAGATTCGATTTTTTTTTTTTCCTTTAACGTAGGATTCTGTTTGAATGACCAAAAAAAATATATATATATATATATATATAGAGAGAGAGAGAGAGAGAGAGAGAGAGAGACCATGAAATGAAAACATTAATTTAAAAACTGAAGATGAGGGGGGATGGTCGAATAACCAGCCAACCCACTTTATGTAATTTGGGCAGGGGATTAATGACTTATATTTTTCTGCTTCTATTTTATGGGGCTGCTAATTCATTTAATAATTTATTTTGACAATAAGCGTAAATTAGATGGTGAAAGATATCTTGGCCAAAATGACGAGAGTATCGATAGATCCATGCATCCGCCGAATTTAGAATTTTTTAGGTGTTTATTTATAATATATATATATATATAGTATTTATTAATTTTATCAATAAAAAATATTTTTTAAAAAATAAGAGTTCATGGGTATTTTAAATCCATCCTTTTTTTGTTTGAATGATTATGTTTTTTCTCCTTTTTGGCAATTTTTTTAATAATTCGATTATAATTGTTTTTTTTTAGCTTACCTGTTTGCTTGATCAAAAATTTTCAGGAAATTGGGTGAAATTTAAGGTTTGTATATATTTTTTTAAAGTTAAATTAACTTGACTATAGATTAAATAAATTCAGCTGCAAAAGAAATGTGATTTATGAGTCAACCTGCTTGATTGCAAAGTAACACCCAAATTTTGTAGTGCAATTTTGTTTTAACTTTCTAATAAATGCCTGATTTATTGATTTGGTGATATAACATGGGTTCTGAGACTCCAGCTCTATTGGTTGAGAAGACAAACGCAGTAGTGGAGACATCTGTTGGCAGGTCAATCATTGAACATCTTAGGAGCTTTAATGACATCTCTTCTATAATTGTTGGTTTGTATTTGAATTCATTTTATGGCTTGCAACCATATGTTTCAATGTTGTGAGTGCCCTAACTCATTAGGATCACATGATTTGTTAAATACAAAATTGAATAAATTTAAATTATTTTAAATGAAAAGATTATTTTTGAATTCTGATTTTATGTCGAAGATTTTGAATGTATTTATTTAATTTAGAAATTTTTCTAATTTTTTTAAATAAAAAATTTTTAAACTAATTTTATTTTTTTAAAACAAAAAAATTATAATTAAATTTTATACAAAAAAACAATTTTTATTCAGAATTATAAATAACACGATTAATTGATACCAAATTTTTAGGCGTTGAAGGGTGTTCATCTTTCTTCGTACGTAAACCCAATATGTTTTTGTACATCAAAATGCCGTTGGTGACAGAATAGCTCGCCTGGTAATGTTTTCTGCCTAAATTCATGGATATTTTAGTCATGGACTGATTCTGATCGTTAAAATCTTATTTTGAATTTTGTGGGATTCTAGAGATGATAGAAAATATGTGGACAAAATCTCCTCGCCAATTGATGTTTAAAGAGAACTGAAAGAAAAGAAGATGACAGTGAAAAAAGGTAAGAAAAAAAAACTTTTGCTCTGATTTGTTATATTTGGAAAATTGTTTTGATTTTTCATATTTAGGTTCTGAGTAAGTAGAGAAATCATAGATTAATGTATGCTAAACTGCTCTTTCATTGAACACTTCTATTTTGCTTTAACCATGAAGTAATATCTTGTTCATTACTAAACATGTGCAGGCAATGAGAACAACTACTGGCTTTTGTGTTGAAGGTTGGCTTGCTATTTACTTCGCTAAGGTTTTAATAGTTCTCCACCTCTAAATTTATTGTTGCTTAAACTGCAAATTAACAAGAATCTATTATGCGAAAATATGACTTAATAATCTTTTTCAGTCTTAATTGAAAACAAAAGGGAGCTTTGGCTTTGGCTTTGGACATCGGAAGACTGGCCACAGGATATGGAATGGGAGTCTTCTCATATGTGGCGGGTTTCTATATCTCCTCTAGGATTTCACTCCTAAACCTTCTCCAGTAATTGGTACACTACTTGTTCTTAACGATCATGATGCCTTTTGTTGAATGTATGACTAGGTACTAGTATTTATTGCTGAAATCGCACCAAAGAAACTATAAACCAGGTAACATGTGCCTGTCAAGTAGCAGCAGTCATTATCATCAGCACAATTTCCTGAAGTTGTGAATTTAATTTTCTGAACAGTCATTAGTTGTCTGAATGTGCAATATAAACACATAAAAAAGATAGAAAACAATGAAACATGCATATGGTTTTATCTAATTATTTGTCATCTTATTCTACAGCTTATGATCTGCAATGGACTATCGGTTGCCTTCATAATAGGGCAGTTCTAACTTGGAGGGCTTTAGCATTAACAGGTAAAAGTGTCTTATCCATTTATTCAAAGCACAGGGATTCACTACATTCTTCTGCAAAACCATGTGAACGTGTGTGTGAGTGTGTTTCCAAAGTTCGATAAGACAAGCTGGGACTCATAAGTGGAGTGATTGCAAGACTTATTCCTTGTGCAATTCTAGTCTTTGGACTCTTTTTCTTTCCTGAGTCTTTCGGATGGCTGGTGTGAAATAGCAGTGAAAAGATGATGGAATTTTTTTTTACACTGAACTATAGTAACATTAAATGAGAATTGGATAAAAATCTTAGATATAATGCAGGCAAAGATAGGACGTGAAAAATAATTTAAAGCAAAGGTGACTTGGCTACTTAGGAAGTAGTAGGTATGGTCACCAAAATCAAGATGGTGACTTGGCTTTGTTGCATGAAAGCAAGCTTGATTTTGGGGATCCATTTAGGAAGCATCAAATGATATGTAGGTAAGTGTATCACTAACTACTTATTCATAAGGTTGATGGAATTACTTCAATTGTTTTTGCAGGCACTTACCATTTGGCATTTTGAGCAGATATCATCAGAAGGCACCTACATCATGGACAGCGCTGGCTACCGCATTCTTATTCTTTGTGATTTGCTTATTAGTTGGCTATATCTTATATGGTGCAGCCATGCACATTGTTAAAGTTGAAGATGATTTCCATGAAATGCAAGCACTGAAGGTTCGAGCAGAAGCTGTTGATGTTGCCAAATCGCAGGTATGATTTTCAAGATATATATATCAACACATGGTTCACCATCCATTTCCAAGCTAAAACTAATTATGACTTGGGAGTATTGCTTGTGTTCTTGATACCAGTTTCTGGTAACAGTTTCTTATGAAATTAGGACTCCCATGAATGGCATCCTTAGTATGTTCCAGATCTCTCCTTAAGGTTTTCTCTGTAAAATATACCTGCGATGACATCAACAGATTTTAATCCGGTAATATTCTGATGACTTTTTGAATGGTTGCAGGGATGATTGCTTTGCTTTTAGATATAAATTTAAGTTCAACATAAAAGGATTATGCTCAGGATGCTCAAGATTGTGGAAAAATGCTGATAACATTGATGAATGAGGTGCTTGACCGAGCAAAAATTGAAGCAGGAAAGTTAGAGCTCGAGTCTGCCCCCTTTGACCTTCGATCTATCCTAGATGATGTGCTCTCTTTACTTTCTGAAAAATCTAGAAGTAAAGGTGTTAAGGTAAGCCCAGATAAGATTAATAAAGCCTACTACTTCATTTTTCAGTGTGTTTCTCTATGTTAGATAGTTCCCATAGGTTATAGGCTTGTAGGGATGCCTATGATCAAAATAGAAAAATCCGTATGGCTTATAATGCTTGAACTAACTTGGTGCCTTTGTTTTTCCCTTTCCTTTCTCTATTTCGGTGGGTTGTTGATGTCAATAAATGGTGGTGTTCCTGATGCATTACAATGATTGAAATATGGCGTAATTCTTTGGGAAGTGAAGCTGGTAGTCTTTGTTTCTGATAAAGTTCCTGAAATAATTGTGGGAGATCCAGGGAGATCCAGACAGATCATCACTAATCTTGTTGGGAACTCTGTTAAAGTAAGAGGGTTGCCCAACCTTCACTCTTTTCGGCACTAATTTAGATGGAATTAGGGGTGTAATTAAGAGAGTCTCATTTTGAAACTCTAGCTAAAACACAAGTTCAAATTTAGTTTATTATTAAATTGTCTTTGGTTTGGGCTGCATTTTTAGAAATTCAAACTTTAGTTTTGCATCTTGATTACCGTGTTACAGTTTGTAGATTCAATTTGTGATCTCGTTTATTTATTGCAATACTGCTATGTGGTTTTTAGTTTGGATCTTTCATTTGAATTAGCATGCTTATGTTGGTTACCTATACATACGAAGCATTAGTTATTGAGGTGAACTATTGATTATTTGTGTGAAGTACTGTATTTCTCATTACATAATTTATATTCTGCTTAGTTCGTTGGACAATTAATTTTTTTTTCTTATATAATCAATATACTTATGCTCTTAAATTACTCTCGAGATGAACCGCGAGCTTAAAATCTAATTATGGTGTATATATGTTATTATTTTGTAGAAGAAAAAAAAAACTTGAATTTGATTATCTGAGTAAGAAAAATCATACACGTTTTATTAAATCAAATACTAAGATGTATTTGTAATTGATAAGAAATATTAATATTAAGTAACAGTAATAATAATCTAATAGCCCTGAATTTGTAAAAAAGTTTAATTTCCTAGAACCAGGGTATCCTAGTATCACTCAAGACCACGAGTTAATTGCATACAATAAATAAGAATATATTCATATATAATCTAGATTTATATCAATTTTGATATTAATTAATTGTCTATTACAATATTTAAAAATTGAGGCCAATAAGACTTTAACTTAATAACAATGAAAAAAATCTTAGAATCTTGAGATTTTAAGTTTAAATCTTATTATATGTGAGTTTGATTATTTAATTATGTTTTAATTTATTAGTTAATTATTCAATGATCATAACTTGATTATGATGAAATTCTTAATTATAATTGTAATTTTAAAAAATTTTGTTATAGCTGTCAAGCCATCCAAGATCTCTTTTGCTAAATTATTATCCATCGGAAGAAAAGCCCTTTATAGGCCAATTTGCAATAACATTTATAACTGTCCAAAACAAAAAGGGTAGCTGTAGGAATCTTAATTGATAAATTAAGATGAGAGCATGAGGCAAAAGGAGTGAATGGAGAGAAAATTCCACTTCCTGACTGAATTAAGGATCAACGTTAATAAATTTTTAATGTATATGAGAAAGGTATAAGATTTGAGTTTTGACATTTAGTTCTATAAAATTGGAGATAAACCGTACAAAGAGGAGAATCAAGAGAAATTAAAAATGAATAATAAAAATAGTGAAAAGGAAATGATAGTAATCTTTGAATTTAATCATTTACAACAAAATAAGTCGTAATCTTTAAATAAAAAAATTATAATTATTAAAATTTTTTACTTCAAATTTATTAAATATTGCTTATTAAAAATAATTATATAAATTAACTGATCTTGTTTTCCACTCATTTCTATGCCTTTTTGAAATTCATTTTCAGGATTTTCAAGGACTCTTCAAATCTTTCATTGTTCTTAAAATTAAACATCGATGGCTACTTCCTTATACCAAGAAAAATGACTATAATTTCATATTGCCACATGTATTTTAATTGATAACACATCATAAACAAGCATCTACACATAACATAAATACTTAATTTCCTCCCACACGGAAAAAACACTAAAACTAATTTTGCTTGTTATTTTTCTTCTTTTGCTTTTAGCATCCTTCAAATTCATCAAAGTGTTAAACTCTCATAGGAAGCCACATTGTTTCTCCACATGTCAATCCGGAAAAATTTTAATGTTCTTGCTTTTTCAAATTGTCTAACTCTAACAAATACACAAAGCACTCCCTCAAGTTGATCTTTTCTCGTTCTTATCTGCAATAACTTATATAAAAAGTTACTCCATGGTTTACTTGCTAGATTACTCCAGAAGGGACGATATATTCTATTTCTAGCATCCCTTGGTTTATAAGTTGAAGAATATTCCATTGGAAAGAAAATAATTATGGGATTGGTCTGGATGAAAACTGGCTTCTGATAACACGCCAAGCTTGGCATCTGACCGAAGTATGTAGAAGTAGAAGACTTTTTCAAGTTACTGTATAGGATTGCCAAGGCGTTTATACAGCTGGAAAGCCTTGTTAATTGTTTGTTATTTGCGTAGATAAGTAGGACAGACAAACACCAAGTAACGTATCTTGAATGTTTCAGTGTTGGCATGTAGGAAAATTTCTTTTCCAGACACGAACCTTTGACGGCCGCATTTGGTGGTGGGAAAGAAAATGAGAGGAAAAGTAACAAGAAAAAGGCTAGGTGGATTAAAGACAATGACCATTTTGAGGAAAAAAAAATGATCAATTCTCGCCGTAACTCTATGAAGCCAAATTGATGAGGTTTGTACTTTTGAGATACCAAAGTGGCCTCCAACTCCAACTCCAATGTGATTAATCTTTTCTTTTCCATTTTTTTTTTCAAATGTAATTGTGATATGTAAACGACCCATAGTTTTCCTATAAATTCGGTGTGTAAGTAATTTCTTGAACTTGTCATTTGATCTTCGAGAGATCCATATATCTGATTAATCTCTAAATTAACAAATTATAAAACATATTTGGCACTAACAGAATTGACTTTAACAGTGGGGGGAAGGGGGGTTTTGGAATTAATTTCATAGTAGCTATGTTGGTAGGGTATCTAACATGTGACAAAGGGTTGCAGAAAAAATACGGGTATTATCATATCACCATGATTATGAGCCATCGATCATGCCGACATGTGCATTAAAAGCATTAAACCACATGGGATCGATGATAGTTAGCGATTTGAAGTTTCAACTATGAACCATCTCCCCTAACATGGGTTGGTTTTCTTGATTCTGAACACCACCATGGTAACTGCCTACCTCTTGGCTCTTGCCTGCTGTTTCTTCGCTGTTCACACGGCAAAACCTTTCCCCAGTTATTAGCTCACTCCGTTATGGTATATAAAAATATAAAAAAATACCTCATACGTTTATTTTATATACTCTCTTTTATTGACTATAATATTCAGCAGCAACAAAATTCATTCACATCCAAAACATAAATGTCAGTTATAGTATTAGAAATATTTTTCTTAAAATAATGAATCAATGAATTGCCAGAAACTGACTACAATAGGGAGAGTTCACAAACAATGAACAAATTCACTGTACAGAACAATTTATCAAATACAAATCCCAGAATCAATGAAAAATAAAATCATTTTTCTTTGTCAATTCAATTAATTCTACAAATCCTGAAATTAATCTTGTGCTAAAGAAGAATCCAGCTTCTCTTCCTTAGCAATCAAGAAACGAGGTTTCTTGGTTGGCAATGGACTTTCAGCCTCTTGTTCTGCATAGATTTGACTAAATCTTCCATCTTTATTTTCCCCACGGAACTCCGGCAACGCGGGCAAGTTCAGGTCAAAGTCAAGGTCGACACGGTGGCTTTGGCTCAAAGCGCCGCCGTCTGACAACGTTACCCCACTAACGCTACCGCTACCACTCTTGTTACTGTTGTTATTATTGTTGTTGCCACCTTCGTAGTGGCAGCGTTTGTGGCCTCCCAAGGCTTGGCCTGTAGGGAAAGTCTTGTGGCAGATGGAACACTCATGGGCCCTACCACTACCGTTGGTGGCGCTGGTGTTGGTGCTGGTGGTAGATGGATTTTCAGCATTGGTGGAAGCTGTGTCGGTGGAGGGTTTGCGATGGCTGGCTTTATGCCCACCCAGAGCTTGATAAGAAGGGAAAGCCTTGTTGCAAACACTGCACTTGTATGACAACTTCAAAGCTGGCGGATCAGCTGCTGGTACCGATGACGAGGAAGACTGACGATGACCATCACCACCGTTGGAGGCGGAGACGTTTTTGTTTTCCTTGGTGGAGCCACGAGCTAGCATGATGAGACAGAGAGCAAGGTACTCTTCTTCAGACGGTGCAGGAGACTCGCTCCGTGATCGCTTTGAACGTTTGCCCTTCTTCCACGTCTCGTGGTAATTGTTGTCGATGTCATCATATTTGTTGCTGAAAGGTGCAGCCGTGGTAGGAGAATTCAGAGCTTCAAGAGCCATATTCTTCAAATTCCTTCAAATCCAATCAAGTTTTAGAAAAAGATTGATAGAAAGAAAAGAAAGTAAAGAGAAAGTGATACCCTTTGTGGTGTTTTTTTTTTCTTTTGCGTTAGGGGTTTGATAGAGTGAGTGAAAAATGGTGCGGCTGTAAGGGTTTATATATAGAGAAGGGGAGTGGGAAAAGAGTGGGGGGGTTTGAGTTGGTAGGAAGAAGTGAAGTGGGTCAACTAAGAGGAAAGGGGTATGGGGTTGGAGACTGAGCTTCCTTCCAGACTCCATATGACTGCTTCCAAGTCAAAACAATGCTACGCCTGCCCTTATTTTTGCTACTGCCCTTACCTCCCTTGGCTACCCTTTCCCTTCCCCTACGGACAATTTAGAAACGGTAAACGAACCCACTTGAGTTTTGGGTCTTTGTCCGTGTCCACCACGACTCGGTTTGGTCAAAATCTTATCTCACTATGGCCTATGGGTGGAATCAAACTCTTTTATTAACGATCACAAAAATCATGGGAGATTTCCTTTTGCCATTTATAAAAAGAAAATGGGTTTTCAGTGGATTTTTTTTTTTTTTTTATGTCGAGACTATGAGGTTATACCGCTTGAAAGATATAATTATTTTGTTTTTGATTAAGCATGGTTTCTGAGATTATTCACTATAATCAATTTAGTGGCTTTGAATTTAAAATTTAACTAAATTTACTCATGTATTTATTTTTAAATTTAAAATTTAATTAGGATCACTAATGTATTTATTTTTAAAATATAACATTCAACAAATATAAAATTTTAATTTTATAATTTATGATTTTGTTTATCTTCGTATTATATCTTCTTTGTATGAAAAAATTAGTGAACCTTTGCTTATGAAAAATTATATTAATTGCAATAGTTGATAATTTGACATGTTTTTCCAATAATCATAAAGTATTAAAAATTTAAATTTAATAATTTGAAATAAAAAACATGTCTTTTTTTTTTTTCATTTAAAACCAATGGTAAAAAATTTCAAAAATTAAAATATTTTTAATAACTGTAAAATCATTTACCTTATTATTCATGAAATTACTTTTGCCCCCGGCATCAGTTTTTTCTATTAATTAATTTTTTTTCCGATTCCATCTTAATTTCTTCCCATTGTTTCTGAATGAAGCTCGACGTTGAAGAGTTACCGTCCAAAAAAAAAAAATGAGATCAGTGCTCATGGCTTAAAATTTAATTGGTTAAGATACGGCAGCTTGGCATTTGTAACTTTACTGATTTGTGCTTGTTTTTGATAGTTCATAGTTGGCTGGGTTGTTTTTCATTATTGGTTGGCATCTAGAAAGACAGCTAATTCATGAAAAATATCCATTGTTGGCCACGTGTGGAACTAGAGCACACCAGTCCGATGATTATCTTCGTTGTTTTTTAGGATAAACAAATCTTCTTCATTCTTCCACTATTACCCCTTTTGAATTATCAATGATTTTCAAAAACAAGCAAAAACTAAAACGTCTAGAAAGTAAAAAATCAACCTTTTCTTTACGCTAAATATTATCTTGTTTAATGAATTAAATTGGATTTTCACCTATCTGAAATGCTTAAAACTAAATTCAATCTCAAAATAACATGATAATAAAATTTATTTCATCGATTATTAAATGAAACATAAATAAGATGACGGAAAATTTTTTATTGTATAACTTAAAACTGGGGATTTTGCTTTTACAGATGGAAGTGTTAAGGTTATTTATGTAAAATTAGTAGGAAGTAGAGCTAAGTAGAGTGCAGTTGTAGAAGAGAGTGGGGAAATGTAGCTTCACAGATGCGAAACCGTCATGCCATACGGCACGTAACGCGCTTTGATCAGGATAACTTACACGTGGCCATTGACTTACTTTCGAACAAACTTTCACATGATATCACATAACCGACAAGTAAGTTTGATATGATCCACATCAATGCCGTACATTTGTTAGGAGTTTCCACCATCATGCCACGTGGATTTCAGATTCTTCCCTGGACACGGGACATATCTCGCCGCTCAACACCCAGCCAATGGAGTTTTTTCATACAGAATTAGAACCGGAGAATTCTAGTGCTTGTAAAGCGTGACGATGCTTTAGGTAAGTTACTGGCGTGTATCTTACGTTCCGTGTTCAAATGATATGATTTTATTAGTTATATATGTGAAATATTTTATAGAAATTAAATTATATAGATATTATCAAATTTATTAAAATTATTAAATATATATAAAAAGATTGTAAAATTCAAAAGCTTATTATTAGGGATAAATGAAACATGATTTAAATGGATATATTTGATTATTATTATAATAAAGTTAAAAAAAAGTCATCAATTTTTATGTAAGGAATAGTGAAAATTTTATTTGAGAATTTGATGAGAAAAAAAGGAATTGATGTAACTTTTAATCAATTAGCTAGCATATCTGCAGCGGAGCTATTTGTCAATCATATTACGTGGAATTTAAATGAATGTTGCATTATGATTTTTTGTGTATTGAAAACAATAAAAGATGATATAGTATATGTGTAATTATTTAATTTTATTAACACCATGTAATATTATAACAAAATAAATTAACTTATTAAATTTAAATCTTATGAAATATAAATTTTTTTTTCAATGAATAAGATAATTCTAATTTGAGTATTATTATTTTACATATAAATAATAAATTTAAATATGAAAATTAAAAATTAGATTAAAACTATTATAACATTATATACTAAGCTAATTCTTTTAATACAAAACTTATGATTGATTATATATTGACAAACACCAACCAATCAAAGATGGGAAATTGAGAATTATGACATCTTAAAAATAATTAACAAATGTATCCAATGAGATAATGTCAAATGTCAAACAAAGAATATGGTTGTTTTAAAATATACTATTAATTGATTTTTTTAGCTGTATTGTTTTTTTTTTTTTAGCTGTACTCTATTCTTTGAAAAAAACCAATATTGAAAATTAAAATAATAAAAAAAATTGTTGACTTGCCATATCAAATCACGTGTCAATTTCAAAATCTTCCTAAGTTAGACTGTTTTCTCAGGAATTGTTTTAATATAATGTTAAAATTTTTAGATATTCAATAAATTTAAAATTTAAATTTAATATTTGTAATTTATTTAATTTTCAAATTACGGCTTTGATAAAAAAAAAAAAGGTATTGACATGGGTAAGTTAACGTGTGAGTTTGGCTATGATTGTACATGTGGCAGTGATGTTATCATTGACCTAAAAATTACTTAGTACAGTAGTATGCAGTTTTTTAACCTAATAAATTGGAGATTTCTTTATGATTGGTTGAAAAATGAAATGGCGGTCTATTTTGAATACGGAGAGTTAAATTTCCAATTGGTCTATGCTGATAAAAACAATAAATTATCAAGAAATTGGATAGGTTAATTTGAAAGTTAATTATAAATCTATGGCTTTATAGTGGTGGGGTGGTTGTTAATAACAAGCTAATTAAATTATAATTTGTCTGCAAATGGCATTACTTAAAACTTTTTCAGCTAAATTATGTAATTAACGATATTCATTCTTAGAATTAGCCCGATTTTAACAAAAGATACATATAAATTAATGAAATAAATTAATTCTCTTTTATCATATAAATAAATCATATCTTGTCATTATCAAAATTCGAATCCATGACTTAAAAGACAAAACCTTAAATTTTAATCATGAAAGTATCCTTTTGGGAACGTGACTGTAGCAAACAGGTTATTGGCATTGTTATCTCTTACTTCTTAGCTCCCAACCAAAGCTCAAAAAAATATTATTACCATTAGTTGAGAAAACCTATATTCCTTCCAAATTCTAAAGCAAGCAACTCTCCATACCTTAAAGCCAACCCACGTAGACATGTCCTGAATCCAGTGAGCTTTAGCCAATTGGATCAAGCATGAACAAATATAAAACAAAGGGCAATAAATTACACGTAAATTTGTTGGTAGTCGAAGTTACGGCAGCTGTGGCGTATGTCAAAAGAATAATTCTAAAGCCTCATACTCAACAAACTTTGATGGCTGAAGGGGGCTTTGATTATGGGGAATGTTTTAAGTAAAAGGAAAACAATACAAGTAAAATCCGATGAGGTCACTCCTCACATAATCACTTTCCAATTGCTTTTCTTTTTTCTGGGGGGCTTTCCTTAATGTGAGTGTGCTGAATTTGATGGTCAAAATATCAAATTCTTTGGATTTCCTTTGGTTTTTCGTGGCAACCGGATGGAACCTTCCAGGAGACTCGACATGGTTTGTTAATCAGTTTTTAAGGAGACTTTTAAGTTGGCTGTAAAGACTTTTGGTATTTGACTAATCCATGTTCAATTATACGTATCCTTCCATGAACCTGGTTGAATATGGAGACCAGATCATTCAAGTAGTTCCATTAACTTGGACCAAAGCCACTCTTCATTTCCCTATTAACCCTTAACAAAATATTACGTATTTGATAATGTCAGCTTCTGCCTCGAGAAAAAGGGTGTTCAGCCACCAGTCGAGGCTGGGAAAAAGTACACGGCAATGACGCATGCACATGGCGAGCCCGAGAGCAGCGCACAAGAATATAGGGCGGAAGGGATTAATGAATTCGGCATGTCTTGTTTTTTGAAATAAAATCAATTAAACATTGTTTAATGCAATCATTAATGCCATTAAAACTTGGAAAGTATATCAATACATGCTACAATTGTTTTTGAAGGTACGTGCATTTTAGTATTTTGAAGGCGGCAATAATAACAATTAATCTATTTAATTAATTAATTATCCAAAAAATGAAACGAAAAAAAATTTTATATGATTAATTACGGAAATTAAAATTAAAATCATATGTATTTGATGAAAGAAAATATATTCGAAAATTCATAATTTAAACCAATTATTTCGTATATGAAATTAAATAAATTTATAATTCAATGTTTAACATTTGCAATTTTTTACTTTATTTTTAAATTATAATTTTTTTGTTAAAAATTGTGGATTAGCCAAATGGGATTGACTTAGTGGTAAAGTTCGTTTATCTTTCTGAGGCAGGCACCCAAAAGCAGAACTGAATTGGGCTGATGGTCTTAACAGTTTGATTTTACTGACCTGAAATGGACTGGCTCTATATAGAGGGATAGTTTTCTAGTATCTAAATAAAATCTGGGCTCTTGATCAATGTGGGTTGTTGGGTTAGGCGATGAGGCTTTAGACTAAATCCCTCTTAACGGAACAACCTGGAACCTTTTCTAGTTCTGTTCACTAAGCATTACGCATCTTTATCTCTCAGTCTGTCGGGTTCTGTACCCTATCTCTGGAATTCATGGCTACCGTGCCACTCTTCTCACCTCTGGCAGCGTCAAACCCAGAAGCGGTGGGTCCCAATATCGGGGTCCCTAAATCTTCTTTCCTCTCTACCACCAAGCTCTTCTTGTCGAAGAAGCCCCATCCTAGAAAGCCTAGCGTTCACCGATGTTGCAAGTCTCCCTTTGCCCAGTCACTCGACCACATCCCCAAGCAGTTCAGACAAGAAAATCTCAAAGATGGATGTCAGTTTCTTCACTCCTTCTACCTTCCCTTAATACCCATCTCCCCTTTTTCCCTCTTTTTGTTGGTTTAGTTTAGTTTAATTTTTTTTTTAACCTAAGAACATATAACTGTTTCGCTTTGCTTTCGTTTACTTCCTTTATCAACCCCAATTGTATTTATATATATTTTATTAATTTTTAGGATAGGGGATTAATTTTTTTGAAGTGGGCAATTGCTAGTCAGTAGGACTTGGGAAGAATAATTTTGTGCAATATAAACATATATATTTTGAACAGTATAGAGGATATCATTTGAAACTTGTTTGAATATTGGTACAAGCATAAGCATTGAACCAAAAATATAAATTTATTCGGATGAATTAATGAATCCATAAATCCATTCTGATGAATTGTTTGAATTGTGAAATCATCACTACCTGCTTTGAATGAGTTTCATCTAAAGTTAAGACAAATTAAGCTTTTATATCTGTCTTCTTTGTTTGTAGTGATGGACAATTTTAAAAATGTGCCACAATCTCTTTATGGTCTTAGTCCTTCACAAATGGAGATGTTCATGACTGAAGATAGTCCCTTTCGTCGACAATCAGGAAAAGTTACTGAGGTTTGCTCCTTAATCTTTGTTGATATCTGAGTTCATAGATGATGATAGATGTAAAAATTAATGGTTAGAATCAAAACTATTTTGCTATTTAAGTTTTTATCCTAGAACCTTGACCTTGTGGTCAGGGGTGTTGCTTGGGGGGCTGGCAGGGGCCATGGCCGCCCTAAAATTTGTTTTGCACCATTGTAACAAAATACCTCTTCCCACCAAAAATAATACTTGGTCCCCTGTTTCCCAGTAAATTACTATTTGGCCCATCCTTTCTCATATTTCTGGCTTTGCCTCTGCTTGTGGTGGCAAATTTAGTTTCTTAAAGTGATTACTAACTTTTCCAATTTTTTCCAGGAAAGTATCTCATCTGCTAGGAGCTATCTGGATAATGGAGGGATGTGGACTATGTCTAGCATTAAGGCTAGAGGCCATTCTAATTATAGTATGAGTGCAAGCATGTATCAAGGAGGGGGTAGAGGATATGGAAGGCCTGGAACTGCTCCTCCTGATTTGCCTTCATTGCTCTTAGATGCTCGGATATGCTTTCTTGGCATGCCTGTGAGCCTTCATACTGTTTCTCACTTATAATCTTGCTTGGTGGCTAAATTTTCTAATTTGTTGTTTTTTTTTCCTTCTATCTTGTCGATGTAGATTGTACCAGAAGTGACTGAGCTTATTGTTGCTCAATTAATGTGGTTGCAATTTGATGACCCTTCAAAGCCTATATTCTTTTACATCAATTCTAGTGGGACACTGGTTAGAAGAACGTTTCTCATTCTGGATCAGTCCAGTCAACTTTCACTGAAACATTAGTCCTATTGTGACATTTCTGAATTATGTAGTACATAGTGCATTGGAAGTTTGCACACGTATCTGTGTTGATTGGTTGCTTCTTTGCTATTTAGGATGAGGATGCGCAGCTTGTTGGTTCAGAAACAGACGCATATGCGATAGCTGATGCCCTGTCTGTAAGTATTGTCATCTACAATGATTTAATTTTAAATATTAATTGGATCTGATTATGAATTTCTTGTTCATGGAATGAGGTAAGCTGCCAAAGAAGCTCAAGAACAGTATTTTATAACCACTAAACCACAGATGTGGCTTTTGTGTCTGATGATTTTTGTTTTGTCTTGCAGAAGGATCATTATGGGGTCTATTTGTTTGTTTAGTTATAATTTATGAGGAGATAGCTTAGTTAAATAGTTTGTGGGTATAAGTTATAAGTGTTTTGCATCATGGCACGGTTAAATAGTTTGTGGGTATAAGTTATAAGTTTTTTGCATCATCATTCCTTATTTAGCTGTTGTACAGGCTTTAAATTTAACTTGTTCATTTTCTTGTTCTGTCTGTTTACCTGAAGATGTGCAGTTCAAAAATCTACACTCTGAATTTTGCCATGGCATTTGGTCAAGCAGCAATGCTTCTCTCTTTGGGAGACAAGGGTTGCCGTGGAGTACAGGCACATTCATACGGTATGGTTCAACTCCTCTTGTAACTTACAAGATGAGCCTAAATTCTTTTGGGAAATATGTTATATTTTCCACTTATCTGTGGTTTACAAAGCCATGAGTCTGCAATTGGTTTTAACTGCCTTGTTAGAAATAATTTCTTCGGAATTTTCTAATTCTATCTCCTGACTGCATGGTTTACCATGGGACTGCCAGATTAAAAATTTAAGTTTCCTATCCTTCTTTGGTTTTAATTTTCTATGGTTCAGTTTTGAACCAAGAGTGTAATTGTTGCTTTTCATTTTGCAACTTTGAAGCACATGTTGTCTTCTGAATTATGATTGATGATTTTAAAAGGGGCGTCAGTTTGCTATCAGATTGTTGGCTTGGTAATAATTGATGTTCATTGTCTCTTTACTTATGTTTTATAAACTTTGCAGCTAAGTTATATCTGCCCAAAATCTACAGATCAAGTGGGGCTGTAACAGATATGTGGATAAAGGTGCTCTCTCTCTCTCTCTCTCTCTCTCTCTCTCTCTCCATGCTTCATTGCTTTGTTTATCTGCATGGTTGTTTTAGCTTCTTTTCTGATATATTTATATATTTTCAGGCCAAGGAATTGGATGTACATGCTGAGTACTACATTGAACTACTAGCAGAAGGCACCGGGAAGACCATAGAAGAAATTACTGAAGATCTCCAGCGACCTAGACATTTCGGAGCACAAGAAGCCATAGACTATGGCCTTGCAGACAAGATAATTGACTCAACAGATATTGCAATTCAGAGACAGGTATTGTTCTTATTAATATTCACTGTGCTTTTCCTTTATATTTCATGCACTTGTAGCCATCCTTTTAATATTTTATATATATATATATATATATATATATTCCAATCAGAATCGTGATGAGAAGCTTGCTCAATCAAAGGCAATGATGAGAGGAGCTATAGGTGGTACAGATGCAGCTCCTTTAGATGATTAAAAAGTATCAGTATAATACGTGAAGTAGGAACTTTGAGCTAGTCTGCTCTGTGTTCAACAATATTTCATGCAATGCACATGTGGTTATATATTATTAGATTTGATCACACATTTTACTCGCAGTGCAGAAATGACAATGTCCCAAACTGTGAGCAGCTAGTACTGTAGCACTTTCGCTTGGTATATCTGTTTTTCGGATGAAATATAATGTTAAATTATATCTTTTATATGAGATGCGTGCGATTTCAGAAATATATATATATATATATATATATTATCAATCGATAGTGTAACTATAATAAATAGCAATGATGGATACTATGGATTTATATTTTCATTTTTTTTAATATTTGAAGTCGTCCGGATTAAAAATTCAAAATTAAAAATCCAATACGTTCCTAAATCCTATGATTTGTTTTTTTTTTGAAAATTTAGTATCATTAATAATCAGTTTAGTTCGAGAACCCCCTTGCAAGAGAAGAACAAAGGCTTGTAGAGTGACGAGGACGATGGACTAGGGATTTTCTGCTAGGATAGACATTTATTACCATGTTGTGTTGTCAACTTAATAAGTTTCACAAACTTCTGAGATGAACAAAACCAAATTTTTGGGCACGAAATTTTCGATTTGAGTTTTTGGAATTGAGAGGATAGATAAAATCCCTAAGAATCAATCTCGAAAGATGACCTATAACAGACAAATTGTAAGATACAAGTCAACTAGTAACATTTTTCAGCAGAAAGTGGAAGAAAAACAACAGTAGCAACTCCAGTATAGTTATAATAAAATCACAATGATGTGAAGAAAAAGGTAAAAGTTCTAGCCTGTGCTTCAAAATTTATTTTCCACATTGAAGTTCAGACCATTCTCTGAAGCCTTGCAGATTATTTAACATATTACACGTTTCAAATTACCATAGAATACATAAAGGTCCTTAATCAGCTATGCTGGAGGGTTAGGATATACTTTTGGTTTTGGCTTGACTTCAATTTCATTTACGCTACGTACAAAGATGGCATCTGGTTCATGTCTGCACAAAGAAAGGATCAGAAATTAGAGCTTGAGTATGCCTGAAGATACTGTATACTTTTTGTAATTTTTGCATGAGAGAGAGAGAGAGAGATAGAGAGTTGGAGAAATCTTACGGCTTATCCCCCTCTTCAAATGTGTAACTTGATGCCACAGCCAACAGTCGCCCGTCTCTGCTGAATGAAAGAGCAGCAATGCTTGTTGGGTACTTTGAATACTGCAAAAAATCATTTAATAATAGTGGTAAATTATCAGCCTTTTTACTGTAAAATGAAAGTGCACTTCAATCAAATCACTTACCTGATACAGCCTCTTCTTATTGTTTCCATCCCACACATTAACAAAACCATCACAACCTCCAGTTGCAAATGTACCATAGCTGCAGGTGGAAAGTCAAAGCAGAAAATTAGCAATCATGTGAGCCAACTGTAATAGGATTTTACTAGCAATACAAAGTTTGCAATTTATTTTTTTTTTCTCAGCAATATTTGAATCAAACAAGAGAAAAGTGACCAATGCGTCTGGCACATTTCCAATGTGCCTTCCCATTCTCAACATCAGTATCTAATTTTTAAATTACTAATTGTCATTTGTCCATGTCTGCCACTCATACAGAAACAGCCAACATGCTCTCAAGGGGAGTGCCTACATTATTTTTTATAATCAAGGGCAAAATTTACATACTATATATACAGTTAATATACCATCTTGCTGAATTGATCGTTTAGCTAGCTTGCTTCTCAGGTTTGCAACCTCTTAAGTTTACCATAAATAAAAAGTTGAAGACTTGTGTAGAAACTTACACAGGATGAAATGCAATGGCATTTACTGGATATACAATGTCTCGTCCAGCCTCGGATTTCCGATGGCACTTAAAGGCATACCTACAAAATATCCAAAATAACCATCAATAAAAGTAAATGATAGAGAAAAACAGATAGGATCAGCTCCAGGAGAGTTCTCATAGTCTATATTATATGTGTATATAACTTATACAATATAAAACTTTTTTAGTTTTACATGTTTTTTTAACCATTGATTTCAATAGAATCAAAGAATGAGATTAAACCATTTTTTCCTATTTTTACTTGTCTCTCTCATCCCTCCTATATATATATATATATATATATATATCCACATAGCCAGTATATACCTTACAAATATAGAGCTAAAAGGAAAATATTGATGCGTACTTTTTGGCTTGACTGGCCTCTGAGAGATCAAAGAACTCCATTGCAACTCGACCTTCAACTGAACTAAGAGCATATCCTGCATAAACTTGTCTAATGAGAAGCAATTTCACCCAACAAAATGACAGAATAAGATGAATGGATCACATATCTAAAAAAAATGTACTAATTTATTTAAATGCTAGCATAATCTAAGCTTTCCTTTAAAGATTATATCTGCCCCTATAAAACTTGCAGAACTTTTTGAAGTTATAACTATTACCTGTTCCATTTGGATAACATCTCACACATCTAGTTTGATATTTCAATGAAGACTCCCTACGTTGCTCAGGTTGAGACATATTTCGCAAGTCATAAACATTTACATGCCTTCCTGCAGTTGCCACAACTAAACGATTTCCAACAAGAGATAAGGAGTAAACACGCTCAGGTTGTGGGTATGTGCCAACAAGAGTGCGCTCCTGCCCACTTGCACCTCTTGGATCCCAACATTTCAATGTCTTGTCCCAACTGCCTGTGATAACTTGTCCTGTAACAAACGGAATGAAACATTAAGGATTCAGACATTTTCTTCAATGAAACAAAAAGCATTCCTTCAATGCCATGTATAGTACATTTCCCTGAGATACATAATCCATAGCACTAGCATGGTACTATTCTAACCCTCAAAAGTCAGAAGTTAATTCATATATGCTAGGATTGAGTGGAATTTGAGACTAAATTCATCCAATTCTGATTCAGCTTGTGTTGATCCTGACAGATATAATCAGTAAATTAAGCTGAACATAGACAAAAACACTCTCCAACCTCTCATTTTCTTCTTCAATTAAACCAAAGGCATACGTTTCTATTATCTTTTCTAAAAACTTGAAATTTCATAAGCATATTCTATGAGCTGGTAAAAAATTCCTACTTTGAACGGCAAAATCAAAGGCAAATCATCTTAAGATCCACATTAAAAGAAAACAATAATTAAATGAAAAGAGAAGATTTGCTATTTTAACCAACCTGCTGCATAAGAGTACTCTATACAACGCGCAGGAGCATCATGTCTACCTAAAATATCCTCCTTTCCATGGCTGAACACTATCCTGCAAAACTAACAGCTCAATCTTAAGCTTGATTCTATATTCATTTTCCTAAGCATTCTCGAGAATCAAACAGAAAAAATTAGGGCAAAAACCAAGGCGTCCAATTAACTAACCTCCTAACGGTATTATCAGCACTGGCACTGAACCCAGAGGAATCATCGTGGAAGCAGCAATCGAGTACTGGCCCACCGTGCATGAACTCTCCTCGCAACGAGTTGGCGCTTGCATCGTACAATCTCACAGTCTATGATTAAAAAGGAACAGAAAAACAGCGGTTAACTGGAATCAAAGGAATTAAAATTTTAAAGTTATTGATGGTGAGGGAGCACCTTATCCCATGAGGAGACGAGTAGGTGATCGCTGTGGTTGGAGAATCGGAGGTTCGAGATCCCGTCCGTCGGAGGGTTGGATAGCTCGCGCCCTGGTGCCGGGGGCGGATGGACAGATGTCATCGCTTGATTGGGCTGTTGGAGAGGTAAACGACAAACAAGTGAGATTTTAGGGTTTTCAGAGTGGGAAGAGTTGTTGCTGAGTAAAGTTGTAGGAGAGAGGGAAGGGGATTTGAAAGCCCAAGCCGTTTCAAATTGCAGAAGAAATAGACGAAAAAAAAACTTTAAAATTAATGTAAAAAAATAGCAGTATTTCCATGTACCCAAAAAAACCCACTTGTTTATCAGGTAATTACACCAATGCCATTTTACGGACAGCCTGGCTTGGCAAAGATAAAGCCCAGCTCGTTCTTAAATCGCCTTGCAACGGTCCAATGTAATAAACTCACAAATTTATTAACGAAGCTCTTTTCTTTTTCAGTTTATTTATAATTACTAAAATAAATCCTAGCAAAATAATAATAATAATAAAGGTGTAACCTGTAACGGGATCTTAATCGGCAAAAATCGTGGATTTTTTTCCTCTCTGATGTTTTGCTTACCTTAAACCCTAGGTAATTTTCCATCAATTCGAAGTTTTGTATACAACGGAATCGAACTCCAAGTAATCGATCCTGAGCTTGTTTGCTTCTCTATGTAATGGTGGTCTGCAAATGCCGCAAGGTACTTTTTTTGTTTTTGTCAATTTGTTGTGAACTTTTGATCGCTTGATAGATTCATTGCCACTCAGGGCTGTAGATTTACATTTCTTCGTGTCGATTTTTTTCTTTTTTTTTTTTGAAATATGTGTCGGAATTTATAATTCATCGCTGGAGGTTCTAGATCTATCAACAATTTGTTTATCGTCTTAAAGAACTAACGCCTTTTCAAATCGTCGTCGTCTTAATTTTAGAGTTTCTTAATTGGAAAATGCGAATTTGATTCCTTTAGTAAATGAATCGAAGAGACGAAGACATTGACCTTGATATTTGGAGGGTTCAATTGGAATGTAGCTTGTTATGTTAAGAATTAAGTAGTGTGTATTACATGGACTGATTTTTAGAGCTAATGTGGTTGGTTGGGATGGACGATTTACGAATGTCTCAGTGTGTAAGCCTATATTACTCCTTTCTGTGTTTCAGGCGACAAAGTTATATTGTTTTGTGCACAAGATTCCTGTTTGTGGAGAATGCATCTGCTTTCCTGAGCACCAAATTTGCGTGGTAAGGTTATAACATTCTACACATTTTGAACTTAGAACTGTATTTCGTAGACTTTGACTTGATTTAGAGAAAGAGTGGTTAAACTGCAGTGACTAGGCACAAAAAACTATAAGAATTCTATCCGTACTGAGAAAGGGGGGGTTTGGATGTGTATTTTGGGGAGGCTTTGCAGAGTTAGAACTCTTCTTGCAAAAACTATATTAGGGTCATGAAATGATTTTTGATTAATGCACAACTTCTTTTGCAACTGTATGTCTCAGAATATGTTGGACTTGTTAATGGTTTTACTTTTTTTTATAATTAGTTTTACTTCTTTTATGATAGATCTCTGTGTGCATTTTTCTAAATTACATGTAATATCATGAAAAAGCTTTTATATGATGTGCAAATGCCCATTTCTGCTGTGTATATTAACAGTGTTACAAAGCAATTCTTAGTGGAGAGGATGTATAGAATGCTGTTTGGGGCTTATAATGTTATTTTTCTTTCCATGTTGCTCTAGATACGTACTTACTCAGAATGGGTAATAGATGGAGAGTATGACTGGCCTCCCAACTGTTGCAAATGCCAAGCTGTGCTTGAAGAGGAGGCTGGCTCTGAAACAACTCGGTTGGGTTGCTTACGTATGTGTTTATAGTGATGTAGATACTGGCCTTTCTTTTTCTTGCAAGCTACATGTTGGACTTGTGCTGTATAATCTCACCGTTATATTTTTGCTACTTTAGATGTCATACACACAAATTGCTTGGTTTCACATATCAAAAGCTTTCCTCTACACACTGCACCTGCTGGATATGTGTGTCCTTCATGTTCTACACCTGTAAGTTTCTTAAAAGCTGTTTATTGTATTTATCAGCACGAATTAGCTGTTTCATGGCCCCAAGCTTCTGCTTAGTATTGTTTTAAGTGATAAATATATGTTCTCAGAATGGATAATGGCAATGTTCTTGAACCTTACAAGTAGTTGGAAGCATCTAGATGCTAAATGTGTCCAGGCTTCAAAGCATTGATGGATAGGAGATGGTTAACTGTAATAAAAATTATTTTGATGCTGCTTCTGCTTTTGAAGCTAGTCATATGAGTAGTTAATGGAGGAAAACTCCTTTGCTGATTAGCATTTTTCTGACATTTTCCAGTAACTTTATTTATTTGAAACTTTTCCATGGGCTTAGCAAAAGCAGAGGAAGAGATTAATAAATGAACAACATTTAAAAGGCATTCTCTATTGTGTGGGAAGAATTTCTATGATCTGTTATTCAAGGACTCAAGACTGTATAATTTGCTTGTGGTGTAACTCAATTTGTTTACTTATATGCTTGGAATATAGCAGTTTTGTTGATGGTCTTGGTTATAACTTCTCCTATCAGTATTGGTTCTTTGACTTTTCTCATTTTGCAATGGTTTCTTGCCCAGATATGGCCTCCCAAGAGTGTCAAAGATTCAGCATCCCGTCTTCATTCACTGCTGAAGGAGGCTATTATGCAGGTGAGTTCATGCTTGATTTGGGCTGTTACGAAGAACTATTCATTTTAAATAAAGTGAAATTTGGATTTTTTTTCCTTTTTCAATATTTTGCTTATGAAAGTATTCTTCTGCTTCTCCTTAAGTACATCCTTTGCATCTTTATGATCTTGCCCATGGGTGCTTACGAGGTCCTCTTGTGACTTGCTAGTTATAAATTGTAATCCAGTTGTTATGGTTTTCAGCATGCGCTGATCAAGCTTGATTATTTCCTTTCAGTGGTTGCATGAAAGTTTTGGGATTTAACTGTTTCCCTGGTAGAGGTTTCCAAAATGGATGGCCTAAATTCTGCTAAGAAAATTTCTCCTGTCAAATGCATTAATTAGTGGAACCAACTTCTGACAATGAAAGTTATTGTAAAATGTAGGCCATATAAGTCTGCTATGGCCAAACCTTTTCATTCCATGTCATCTAAAAGCGTTGAACTGCAAGAAAGTTTCTGAGATCTCATTTCCCAAGTTATTTCAAGCGTATAAAACTCAGAATTTAGCCACTAGAATGTTGCCGATTCCAGTATTTGGGGTGGCCGCTCAATCTTCTGATGCTTGAAATGCTGAAGGTCATCAATTGCCTCAAAATTAACGTCTAAAATGTGTGTTAATTATCTGTAAGAAGTGCACCAAAGAAAAAAGTTGTTTGCATTGATTGCAGTTTTAACATGTTCTATTGTAGATTCATATTGTACTTTCCATTTTTAGGATGAATACAATTCGAGTTATTATCATATCTGCCATTGTGCAGATGTAAATTTTAAATGACTTTACTTGCTATTGTGCAGACTGGAATGGAGATGAATTTAATCGGAAATCATCCTGTTTCTTTGCCTACAGTAGAATCCCGTGGTCCTCCAACTGCATTTTCTTCAGATCCACTAATAAATGCAACCTCTACTGGAGGAAGAGACAATGATGGGAATTCATCATCCTCCGTGGCAAAAGATAAAGGATACACAGCTGTTGTTGGACCTTCTAAACTTACAGTGAAAGAAATAATGGAGATAGATGGTCCCAGTTCTGCTGGGAATTACATGAAAACTTCAAGTCCTGTTGCTGTAAGTTATTTTTTTTGGGTTAATTATTGGATCTGAACTGAGTTGTTCAAGTCATGTTAAGCTTTGCTTGCTTGTATGTGTCAATTCCAGATTGTTAGTTGTTTGTTTTGTTATTTTTTTCGTTAATTTTTGGATCTGAACTGAGTTGTTCAAGTCATGTTAAGCTTTGCTTGTTTGTATGTGTCAATTCCAGATTGTTAGTTGTTTGTTTTCTTATCTTGGGTATTTTGTTCTATGTTGCTATGTAATCCAGCCTGTGGCTACAACACGGAAGAGTACAGTTCATGTTGATCAGCAAAACTCTGAAATCTCATATTATGCAGATGATGAAGATGGAAATCGTAAAAAGTATTCTCGGAGGGGTCAGTTAAAAAAAAGCCTTGGTTCATGAAGCCATTCTGCTTTCTAATTGATTAGAACTTTGCCAATTTGTTATTGCTGTGACCTACTTTTTTCATCTGAGTGTTTCTTAATGCATCCATCTGAGATGCTGACCAAGTGTATTTGTAATGGAGAACTTAGATAAGATATATTTCCTATGCCTATTTCATGATTTGTTGCATGTTCTGATCTCATAACCATGATTCCTTTAATTTTATTTATAATTTGTTGTTTGTAGGTCCAATTCGTCATAAGTTTCTCAGAGCATTGATTCCCTTCTGGTCAAGTGCATTACCAACTCTACCGGTGACTGCACCACCACGTAAAGATGCATCAAATGCAGATGATGTCGCAGAAGGTCGATTGAAGCAACAAAGATCAAAACGAATGGACCCAAGAAAAATCCTTCTTGTCATAGCAATCATGTTAGTCTGCACCTCTCTTTTTGTATATGAATATGCATAAGCACCAATGCCATGCTAATTCACCAGCCTACACATGAACACACAGATATACCTTTCTCTCTTGTGCATGAATTTATGCATTTCTTATTGATATGCGTCTTTCTGTGTTTATCTATGCATATTTCCTTGTGCCTTGTGGATGTTGCAACTGCTATCTGTATGCATACCAATTAGGTGGGGGAGACTGAAACACTGAGGGAAAAGATGTTAGAAAATTTTCTAAGCGGATTCAGTTCTTTTGGTTGGTACTGAGATTGGTTCTTATTCCAACTGGCATGCCCTGTATGTCATGGCTTTTGGTTTTATGGGTTCCTTTATCCTGACTACAAGCTTAATCATTTTGCTTTTCTGTTGAGAATTTAATAATGATGGATCAAAGGCAGTGGATGTCTTTGTATCATCAACTATAGATTTAAACTAGAACAACTTAAAGGTTCAGAATGTCTACTGTGGCTATATCCTTAATATTTGAAAATAATGAACGCGTAGAACTGATTTTTATTTATTTATTTTTTTGGCCAATAAAACTGATTTTTTAATTCACCAGCTATCAATTATGTCTATGCAGGGCCTGCATGGCTACTATGGGTATTCTGTACTACAGAATTGCACAAAGGGCTCTTGGGGAGGGACAGGCTGATGATGAGCGGTAGTAACTAATTAAACTGTGATGAAATTTGTGACAGTATACTACTTGCTTCTACAAATCATATGTTGGTTACTGCTATTGTTGCCTTTTTCTCTGCTCAGCCCTTCCTTTGCCTTGGCTTGTGGCGAGCATCGGTGGATGGTGGAAAACACTAGTAGATGCAGAGAAATTCAAGACCCATTCCGTCTTTTTAAAATTTTTTTATTGGTGTGGACACCAAACAAATCATCAATTCAGTGCAGTTAAACTGAAAGTTACAAATTAACCCACTTTAAACATAACATTTTAAAGTTTTCGAATGTATATTTTTGGTAAGTTATACAATTTATTAAATATGTACTTTCTGTAAATTATATAATTTACAGGACGATTGTGTAACTTATTAGGTATCTATATTCTTAAAGTTGTAAAATTTACTAAATTTACAATTAAAAAAATTATATTTTAAGGTTTGAGAAAAAATTAGTTGAGAAAAAATATTTTGCAGATTTTTTTTTTAGTTTTTGAATATGCAAATTGAAAACTTACAAAAATTTTTGATTTATAACTTTGAAAACTTAAAAGTGAAAAAAATGTGAAGAAAAGATAAAAAAAAAAGTAATTAAGTGATTTTATTTCAAAATGATTTTGATAAAAAAGTGGTGTGAAAAATTTTAAAAAAATTTGCCAATAAAAGCTCATTTTTATTAGACGTTTAGTTCGTGAAATTGTAAATTTCAAAAAAAGTATGATTTTCGAGAAAAAGTGATATTTGAGATTTTTTATTTTTATTTTTAATGCATCTTGTATTCATATTTACTTGTTTAGTTAGGAAAATTTACATATATAAAATTTTGAATAATTATTATAATCTCCTTAGGATATATGATGATAATTTAAATAATTCAATTTTAATTGAAGATGATTATTCAAGTTATTTTTGACTAAAAAATATCTTAAATAATTTTTACAAAAAATTGAATGGAGTTCTTTAAGGTATTTGTGACAAAAAACGACTTGAATAATCTTTTTCAATTTTTATGAAGGGATTATTGAAAAGTTTTTTAACCACAAATGCCTTCAATAATCTCTTCTAATTTTGAAAAGATTATTCAAGGCGTTTTATGCTAAAATCACTTTCAATAATTTTCTCTCATTTTTTTTTGAAATTATTCAATACAGTTTTTGCCAGAAAATGCTTTGATTAATCAATTACAAAAAATTGAATGCGGTTATTTAAGAGGTTTTTGGCTAAAAATACCTTGAATAATTTCAAATGTGTTTCTGGTAAAAAAACGTTTTCAATAATCATTTTCACTTTTTTTTAGGATTATTAAAGGTATTTTTGTCCTAAAAAAGGCCTTGAATAATCTCTTTAGAAAAAATTAAATGGAGTTAGTTAAGGCGTTTCTAGTAAAAAATACCTTCAATAATCTTTAAAAATTTTTATGAAGGGATTATTCAAGGTATTTTTGATAAAAAATACTTTTTATAATCCCCTTCAATTTTTATAATGGGATTATTCAAAACATTTTTGCTCAAAAAATACATTGAATAATCCTTTACAAAAGTTTGAATGAGATTATTAAAGGCGTTTCTGGTAAAAAATGCATTGAATAATCTCCTTCAATTTTTCAAAGTGAATTATTCAATGCATTTTTTGCTAGAAAACACTTTTAATATTCTCTTAAAAAATTTTGAATAGGGTTATTAAAGGCGTTTCTGATAAAAAAAAATACCTTTAATAATTCCCTTTAATTTTGTTACTAGGGGATTATTCAAGGTGTTTTTAGTAAAAAACACCTTGAATAATCTCTTCCATTTTTTTTTTGAGATTTTTCAATGTGTTATTTAAGGCCTTTTTGCTAAGAAAACACTTTAAATAATCTGCTCTCATATTTTTTAGGGATTATTTAAGGCGTTTCGCCTTGAATAATCTTTTTTCATTTTTTTTTGAGATTATTCAATGTGTTTTTTTTTCCTAAAAAATACTTTGAATAATCTCTTCATTGCATTTATGATATTTTTTTATAGTTTGGCTTAAATATTGTGGTTTGCTTAATGGTATTGTGAAAATTATGTGTATTTTTTTTACTTATCATTTGTTTTACATAGGACTCTTATTTAAGGTAGGAATCACAATATGGTTTGTATCCATAAACTATTATTGGTTTAAGGATGTTTTACGTATATTGTTTTAGTAATTGTAGTATGATATTGGTTATATTTTATTACTGTGTGAAATTTAGAAAGACAGTTTAGTGTATTTCGTATAAATATGATCAAAATTGTAGATATAATAGAATCCAAAGAATATATGTCTCATACTATTGAACCTAAAAAAGACACGCCCGTAGTGAAAAAAAAAGAAAAGCAAGGGGACAAAATAAACATATTCAAGCGACTAACACAAAAATTCATGTCAAATTCAATTAAAATGGGCAGCTTGTGTTTGATGAAGCTGCCAAGTTGGTTAGTCATATTGGAGCGGTCATCTGTAGTATCATTTTTATTACATACCATAATTGGCGACGGGTTCCTGATGATCTAAAGAATTGTATATGGGAGTCGATTGTGGTTATTCAATTATTCCATAAAATTTGTTAAATGATCATTTAATCGAAACTCAATGTATTTATACTAATTGTTTTAAATTTATTATGAACGGTTTGACATCCCAAATAAGTATAAAAAGCTTGTGTTACAATTGATTGAAAAAGCATTCAGAGACTTTAAAAGCAGATTGACAACTTAATATATTTTATCGTTCACTGATAATAATGATATGTTGGCTGATCCCCCCTCATCACATGTAGATATTATTAGTTATCAAGTTGGATGCATTTTATTCGAGATCGACTATCAAAAGAATTCTCAATATGCCTGTAGACACCCCATTTTGTTCGAGATTCTTTATCAATTGAGACCAATCCAAGCTCAGTTGCAGGGATTTTTATTCATTTTTATTTTAGATTTTGTTATTTCATATTTATCATTTTTATTTTTATTTTATGATTTATTTTCTTTATTTTTTTTGATTATCTGATTAATTAAAAAAAAGAAAAAAAGCTGAAAGATTGAGATTAAGCTTGGTGATTGTGATGATTGTTATCTAGATGTTAATCTTTAGCATTGGATGACTAATTGGAATTGAATTAAAACTCTATCAGCATGGGTCTATATATCAACAATGAATATACAAGTTGAAGGGGAGAGAAAAAGATAGAAGAAGAATTTGATTAGGAAAGGGAGAGGAATTCGAACAGGAGAAGAAAAAAGAGAGTGAACCAAAAAAAAAAAAAAGAGTCATAAAAAGACTCTGGACTCTAACAGCAACTTAACCCAACGTCACCCTTCTCCATCATTGCCATCACTAGCCTTAGTCCCGTGGGATGCCATTGCTAAATTGAAAACCATACCTCATATTACACCGCCATTTTCGTTCAAGCCAAACTCCCACCATTACTGCCAGAGCCATTATCTCCATTCATAACCATTTCCAACAGTATCCAAAATTACTTTTCATCTAACCATAATTTCAGATTCGACAATAGAACCCAAGCAGTCAATAGCTAGCGCTCGGTAGCGGTGCAACACCCACAGCTCTCGGTAGGCCAAGGCCGTATCAGTTGCGCAACAATAAAAAACAAAGAATATAAACAAAGGCAAAATTGCCCCCCTTCTCGCCCATGGGTCTCATAGTAATAGTTTCCAAGTCTCAAGTCTTCAAAGGCTGAAGATGAAAGCACCCACAGGCAGAGCCACTTTAATTGGATCTTCTATGTCCGTACATCGACCTTCAACCTCTGTTACCATATCAATTTTTTGGGTTGCCAATGGCTTTCATTTTCTACGTTTCACCACCGAACCAGACTTTCCTTTCCCGATTAAGCATTATTTTTCAGTCTTTTACTCAAAATCATGGAATAAAAGAATGGTTTTGGGGAGTAGGAGAAGCATAGTTGTTAAGGCATCATCATCACCAGACTTAGCTGAACCCACTGCTCCAATTGCACCGCTTTAGATGGAGTCTCCAATTGGGTAATTTTTGTCTCAAATCTTGATAAGCCATCCATATCTTGTGCCTGCAGCAGCTTGAACAGCTTCAAACTGATCGCGATGCTGAGCAGAAAAGGGAAGAGCTGTCTGCTTCTGGAATGGATTTAGTATTGTATAGAAGAATTGTCGAGGTTAAGGCTAATGAGCGAAAAAGGGCTTTAGAAGAGATCCTCTATGCATTGGTTGTACAAAAGTTTATGGATGCCAATGTCTTTTTGGTGCCTGCAATAACTCCCTCTTCTACAGATCCTTCAGGTCAAGTGGATACGTGGCCAAGCCAAGAAGATGAGCTTAAGCAGCTTCACTCACCTAAGGCCTATGAAATGATCCAAAACCATTTAGCTCTCATTCTAGGAAATCGAGTGGGTGATTCAACATCTGTAGTACAGATAAGTAAACTCATGGGTGGGCAAGTCTATGCTGCATCAGTGATTTATGGATACTTCATGAAGCGGGTTGACCAGCGATTTCAGCTTGAGAAGTCTATGAAAATCTTTCCAAATTCTTTAAATGGTGAAAGAAGTAGTATTGAGCAAGTTGTGGGGGAGGATATGAGACCTGCTGCTCTAAGGGACTCCTATCAAGCTGTTTCATCAGACCCTGAAGTCTCATCTTGGTCTGGTGGCATCAATCCTGAAGGTTTTGGTCATGGGATAAACCCCTATCGATTACGAACTTATGTGATGTCTTTTGATGGGGAGACATTTCAAAGACATGCTATAATTAGATCAAAAGAAGCTGTTAGCATTATTAAGAAGCACACAGAGGCCCTATTTGGAATACCTGAGATTATTATAACTCCACAGGGCGCTGTTGATTCTTCCAAGCATGAGCTTATTAAAATTAGCTTTGTTGGTTTGAAGAGACTTGTTTTAGAGATTGTGACTTTTGGTTCTTTTCTATGGGATGTTGAAAGCTTCGTGGACTCAAGGTACCATTTTGTTATAAATTATCTATGTTAAATTACATCCCTGCCAAAGCAAACTTTGTAGTGGGAACTCAACTGACTAAACTATGGTTTAATTGAGTGTAAATTTGGTGATTGTTACTTAGCAATTGGCATTGGTTATTCTGTATCTATTTCAGTTTTCCTACAAAAAAATAAATTAAAAAAAAAAGGTTTGTGAGGAAAAGTTGAAAAATTAATTTTTCTTAAAAATAAATTTTTAAAAAAAGATTTTGAGGAAAAGTTGAAAGTATCAATTTTTCTCGAAAATAAAAGTTTCCAAAAAATATTTTTGGAGAAAAATTGAAAGTATCAATTTTTCTTAAAAATAAATTTAAAAAAAAGATTTTTGAGAAAAAGTTGAAAATATCAATTTTTCTTGAAATTAAAAGTTTCAAAAAATATTTTTGGAAAAAAGTTGAAAGTATCAATTTTTCTTAAAAATAAATTTTAAAAAAATAAATTTTTGATGAAAAGTTGA